TTGCTCGTTGTCTTCTTACAGCAGCCCAAACCCATTCGTCAGGCTGCTGGAACAAAAAACCCCTTACAACGTTTGTAACAGATTTTTTAACACATTAATCTACTTTTAACTAATCTGAACTACGAGGAGGGGAATTCGAATTCGGGTGCAGTACGAGCACATCAAATCTAGCTAACTTGGCTAAGCCCATATATGCCAACAATTTATATTGGATGAAATCATATCTTATCGGAATTTAAATTTTTTTACATCTATTTGTTTGGTTAAAATTAAAAAATAATTAAAAACAAAAGCTTACACACACAAAATTATTTTAAAAAAATTAACACAAAAACAAATTAATACCGAAAATTGAATTTACATCTCTGATTGAATATAAAACCACATTTACATCCCGTACATCCCCAAATTTACATTCCCCATTAAAGTTGCTTTGAGCCATCCATTAGTCAGTCAATTTAAGTCAAACACAAACAAAGGAGAATAAAGAAAGAGATTTTCTATTTAAACCCCACACTTCTCTTAGTTCACCTCATGTTCTAAGTTCACCCCAACTTTTAATTTAAATTTTCACAATTTCTAAGTAAATCCCATTATCTTCCCAAACTACCCTTAAATACATCCCAAGCTGAAAAAATAAGAAATAAAAGAGATTTTCTATTTAAACTCCACAAGCTACCTTTAGAGGAGAAAATAAGTTTTTTTTTTTTTTTTTTTTTTGATTGGTGGGTTTGGGGTTGTATGAGTTAGGAAAGTGGGGCTGCTTGGTGTTTAAAAGTTGAAGACATGGAAAATTGGTTTTCCAGGGGGGAAAAGCTTATTACTTGTGTTGCTTGTGTCACTAATATTTTCTGATGATTATATATGTTTAAAAAAAAGCAATCAACAAAGGGAAGAGAATAAGATCATTATAGCGAAACAATCAACAAGTCTTTCCATAAGCTTTCGCACATATTTCAAAGTGGTAGGCTCGTCAATGTTTAACGTCTTTAAAAGAGAAAAGTAATCTAGCATATGTAGAAGAGTTCGTATTTTTTTTAAACTTAATTTGAAGAGTTGTGAGGTGTGTGGTGTGTGGGGTGTGTGAGGTGTGTGTATAGATGTATTAGGGTTAAGTATTAAGTTGGATGACCTTTTTTGTCTTTTTACATAATAATAAAATTTACAGCTTAATGATTTAAGTATTGGGGTGAACTAAAAGCAGTGTGGGGTTTAAATAGAAAAAATCTAAAGAAATCTCCCGAAGGAGAGTCGTTTTCCAGTGAAACGGAACCACACATACAGTCCTATCCCATGTGGCATTATCACAACTAATCACGTAAACAAGACATGGGTGAAAATCAGATGCCACGTGTCACATGTCCGTTTAAACTCATAGATTTCATTGGATGAGATTATATCCGGTGTGAACCAATTGTAACTCCCACGCATCTTATCCGTCCACCCTTTGTGGTGTCTCTAAAATCCTAGTACACAGAGACGGAGAGAGAGAGAGAGAGCTCACTTCCATTGCCAACATTCTGCTAAAACTTAAAACTTTGCTCCAAAAATGGCAGCAGAGATGGCTCTTGTAAAACCCAAGTTTACTCCAAAAATGGCAGTAGAGATGGCTCTTGTAAAACCCATCACCAATTTCAACAATGTGAGCCCAAAATTTGGAAGCAGCAGAGCTTGCTCATACAACAAGTTGAGCAGCACAATAAGAATGTCTGCAACTGCACAGCCCACAGCCAAAAAGTCCCCAAAGAAAGCCATCAAGGAGACCCTTTTGGCACCAAGGTTCTACACCACTGACTTTGATGAGATGGAGACCCTCTTCAACACTGAGATCAACAAGAACCTCAACCAGGCTGAGTTTGAGGCTCTGCTTCAGGAGTTCAAGACTGACTACAACCAGACCCACTTTGTGAGGAACAAGGAGTTCAAGGAGGCTGCTGATAAGCTCCAAGGCCCCCTCAGACAGATTTTTGTGGAGTTCTTGGAGAGGTCTTGCACTGCTGAGTTCTCTGGCTTCCTTCTTTACAAAGAGCTTGGAAGAAGGCTCAAGGTGAAATTCTGATTCAATTATCATCTCAATTTGCAGAGTCAGATGGGGTTTTCGGTTAATTTGCAAGTTGGGTTACTGTTTTTTTGTTTGTGGTAGTTAAATTTTAAGAGGATTTATGTTGCAGAAAACCAATCCAGTGGTGGCTGAGATATTCTCTCTCATGTCCAGGGACGAAGCCAGGCATGCTGGGTATGCAAGCATTTTGATTTTGTTACTCTTTAATCAATATTTATTAGAATGAATGACCATAGTTTCGTACTACTGCTGCAGGTTTTTGAACAAGGGCTTGTCTGATTTTAATTTGGCATTGGACTTGGGGTTTCTGACAAAGGCCAGGAAATACACATTTTTCAAGCCAAAGTTCATCTTCTATGCCACTTATTTATCTGAGAAGATTGGATACTGGAGATACATTACCATATACAGGCATCTCAAGGAGAACCCTGAGTACCAGTGCTATCCCATTTTCAAGTATTTTGAGAACTGGTGTCAGGATGAGAACAGGCATGGTGACTTCTTTTCTGCACTGATGAAGGCACAACCCCAATTCCTTAATGACTGGAAGGCAAAGTTGTGGTCTCGATTCTTCTGCTTATCGGTAACTTCTTGCTCTCAAGATAACAATTATTTCTTTAGCCATGTAATGTCACAGCTGCACATGTAAGAATACACTTTCTTGTTTGCAACCAAAACCAATATGTGTTCAGAACAAAATATTTTATGGGAAGTTGCCTACCCAAACAACTGAAATGGTTTAGCATCAAGTTACATAAGGTTGCTCAGCTATCCTTCAACTTCTGTTCCTTCATACTTGACAAATTTATGGTGCAGGTATATGTGACAATGTACCTAAATGATTGCCAACGCACAGCTTTCTATGAAGGCATTGGGCTCAACACAAAAGAATTTGATATGCATGTTATCATTGAGGTGAGCCTGTGGTTCCATAGTTCAAGATTACCAAACCTTGAGAGCAATTTTTTTATTGTAGTTCAAGATATTAATGTTTCTAATATGCCAGAAGCATCCTTCTTTCTCACAGCTATAATTTTTAAACTTTTTTTCAAGAAAGGTAAATCCTCTTAATTCCCTTCTTGGTTGCCCTTCTTGGTTGCCAAGATGATGAGGTAGAAAGAGAAAAATCAGAATTTCCTTGTATACCTGAGTAGTTGCAATATCAAAGTTTGCACTCTTTTTCATTTACACTCTTGGCAACCAATATGGAGGTAAGAGGTGATATTTATTTAAACATCCAATCTCTTGTTAGAAGCATGCTAACATCTAGTCTTCATTCTGGAAGATCATAAGACTGCCTTTACTTCCCTTAGCTAGTTGGACATGACAACTTTTGTGCCAAGGGTTCAATAGTGTATTTTCTGTTTACGCAGACAAATCGCACTACAGCCAGAATTTTCCCAGCTGTGCTTGATGTTGAGAACCCAGAATTCAAAAGGAAACTGGACCGCATGGTGGAGATTAACCAGAAGCTGATTGCTGTCGGGGAGAGCGACGACATTCCCTTGGTGAAGAACTTAAAGAGGATACCTATGGTTGCTGCATTGGCCTCTGAGCTTCTGGCTGCATACCTTATGCCACCCATTGAGTCCGGATCTGTTGATTTTGCTGAGTTTGAAACCCAACTGGTGTACTGATTTTTTTGTAAGACTTCCCTCTTATCCCATATGATGTTAGCGCATAAATAGTATGCCTACAAAACCGAGAAGATGTTGTCAAGTTATCAACACTTGTTGACATACCCTTTGCTTCATAACGTTTATTTTTTTAATGTAAAAATGGTTTCCCTTTGGCAATATTCTTGGTCATATGCTTCAAATTTCTAACCCTAAACCCTAAAACATAACTTCCATTAATCCACGGTGATTTATTTTTTATGAAAATAATTGTCTATACAAAAATACTCCAACCCGTTTAATTCATGGCTTAGACGTAATAAGTATGAGATTTCATTCCCATGTTCAGTAAAAAGATTCTTGGGAATGTGATACATGAGTACCCCTTAAATCTAGCCAGGCATTTTAGTGCATTTTTTTTTTATTATAAATGATTAATGACTTTTTGTATTTATAAATGCATTTTAGTAAATAAATAAATAATAAAAAATAATAATAATAAAAAATAAAAAAAAACTTATTGGGAATGTGATACATAAGTTACAAGTACATTTTTTGTTTTTTGTTTTTTTTGGTTCCTTTGTGTATTTCTCATTGTTCAGTGGAGAATTGAACAAATTTGATTCATATTATTACTACATAAAGCAAATATGGGAATGAGATTACTAGGTATTGAGCTTGAGCGTGAGAATTGAACAAGCTCATACTGTTGGACCACCTATCATTAACAGAAGACGCTTTGTCAACCATTATAGAGCAAATGTCAATTTCAGCCCTAATACTTTAAACGATTGAGATCATATATCTTAAACTAAGGGATAAAATTTGTAATTTCAATTAATATCTCTCATCTAATATTATTTCCCAGTAATTTATCTTCATAACATCCATCATGTTTTCACACACATTGTGTCAACCATCTGGTAAGTTCTAAATAATTGTCTTGAAAATGAAATTAATCTAATCTTTGCTTCCATGCAGCTCTCATAGCAGTATTGTTAAACAAATCAAACCCCAAATGAAAAGTTTACATTTAACTTAGCAAGTCTCAGCACCCCATCCAAAAACAAAACAGAAAAACAAAAAGCCTAGGTGCATATGAGATAAGTCGAAACACATGGTCGTAGCAGATGTTTTTTTTATTTAAATTTTTTTCTTTTGTCAAAGTTTGGAAGGGGGAGGCGAGATGTACCATTAGGGTTCAAACCTAGATCCCTAATCTGCATGCAAATTCTCTTACCACTAAGCTATGGACCCATTGGCGGATGTAGCATAGGTTATATATACATTATTAAATATCATATAGCAAACCAGAAAGAATATTATCCAATGAAACTAGGAGCAAGTCAATCCAGATTTTCTTAAAACTATGGAAAAACCAGCAGTCTGTAAGTCATCAAAAAGGCAAAATAAAATAAACACTACTGAACATTAAACCACTATTGAACACCATTCCTTGCAGATTTCTGCATTATTGTAAACACAGGAAGACATTTTACAACAATCATGAGTCAGAATTTTATCAAGGGACGATGTAACTGTATGAACTCTCCTTTGCTTTCCAGCATCAAAGTGACCAACTACTGTAACTGTATTAAGAAAAACGTAACTGCTTACCTAGTTTCTGACTACCATAACTACTGAAACAAAAGATCCTTTGGAAACCGAAAAGAAAGATGCTTCATGAGATGCAAAAGCCCTAGAAGAGATCAGTTGTAGCCAAACCTGTCATTAAGGGATGAAGGTCAAGTAGAATACAGAATAAGAATGATAATTCAGACACAGGACAAGTAACACCAAAAATTATACTAAACATGACATGTACACAAAGCTGAGGGATGTTAAGGAGTATCATAGGATTTCTTTTCCAATATGTTTTCTGTGGCATTTAGAAGAGTATTTCATATCACACTGCACTTAAAACTAGCATCAACAAGAACAAATTTTAAATTATCAAGGGTGATGAGTGTAAAACAGTTAAGACATGTTGTTTCCTATGCCAGTTGATTAAACCAAACAAGCAAACTAATAAAGATATAGTTTAGTATTTGTCCGCATTGCATTACTCTTCCATTAGATAATCATGTTTTCTCTCTTTCTTTTTGCTTGTTCTTTATGTTCAGAAAAGATGGGGCATATGATTAGAAAGCTCAAAAAATCTCTATTTTCGCTGCATATTTTTTTGTTATGTTATAGAAGAACCAGTTAACTGAAGATGCAAGTCAAAAACTCAAAATAACCATTTTTGACGCTGACATAACCCACTTAAGTGACTTACTAATATAAGGAACTAAAGTTTGAGGTCTGAAAGTATAAGAAACCTACATTTGAAAAATAGACCAAAAAAAAAGAAAAACTCAAATGAAAATATGGAAATAAAATAAAGTTGAGAAACCTTTATGCTTGGAAAACAGGTGATGTGGTTTTAGGATGGTTATTTCCACAATCAGCTTCCTCATTTGCTCCATCCAAGGAAATGGTGCTCTGTACAGATGCTCTCAATTCATCTCTCGGATGTGAGCTTCCCACAGAATCTCTCACTGCATCCCTTGTAGTAACACTTTGCACAGATTCTGTAATTTTATCTCCATCTATTGAGTATTTCACAGATTCTTTTGCTTCTGTCTGAATGGGAAAGAAAGTGTCAAAAGCAGGTCCTCGTTGTTCCCCTGCATTCTTCAAATCATCCTCCAAATCATCATAGTCAAAATTCAGCAAAAGGTTGGGAATTGGAAAACCATTGTCCTCCGCAATGCCAGTTCCCATTTCAATATCAATTTTCTCCTTTGAGCCCATAATACCTTCATCAAGATTTGGAGTCACAGATCCTGCGATCATCTGCTCATCCATTTCAATGAATGATCGGAATCTATTCATTGAAGGAGGGATCTTAGAGAAAAAAACTTCTTTGATGTTCCACATCACTCCTTTGTTATATGGGTTCTCCTTCTTATCATATCGGTACCGGAAGTTTTCATATGTTGTCTGTAACAGAACAAGAATCAGAGAAATAATATTAGATGAGAATGTACATATCGTCTCTGTGTGTGTAGTAGGTGTTATATTCAAGACTATAATGCCCTACTTATTTAAACTGTCATTTATTTATTACAATAATATTATTTTAAGGATTAAGTATCTCTTCCTTTTGTTCACACTCTAGCTTCCTCTTTCATGTTCCTGTTATTTGGTTCTTCTATTGTTATAACTCCATAAATAAAGCCTACTTCTGATTGGAACATATGATTCTTGTTCTGAAGAGAAAGCCTATCTTTAATAGCCCATCAGGAAAGCATTTTAACCAAATCTTTAATACTTTAATCAATACTATAAGCGAACGTTCTCCATTTCCTTAATCAATACGTTATCTGAAAGAAAATTATTATCACTTGATCAAATCAAGTAATTCTCAAAGATATATATAAAATATTCTTCTTAGTAATAAAATCACAATCTCTCAATATTCTTAACCACGCATAACTAATAACGATAATATTTCCTTGATGTATGTTTTAATTAGGTTTATGCATTATATACTTTTATATTCTAAACAAGAGAATGATTTACTAACTAGCTCTTGGTCTAGTTGTATTCCTCTTCCCAATGGAGGAGGCCCCAAGTTCGAATCCCCTCCCTTCTTGATTTAAAAAACTACCAAATTATTTTATCATTTAAACCAAATGCAAGAATATGTCAATCTGCTAGTACAATAGATACAGGCTAGAAAATTAAGCTAAATGCATATCGTACTAGATTAACTACAACACTGCAGCTTCACCCATTCGTTTTTTTGGGAGGCGAAGCCATTTGGCCCAAATGTCATCAGCTAAGATCTCCATAGATAAGATTCTTAGAGGGAGAGAAAACCAATCAGATTATGTTATTTGCATATTTAGTTTCAGTATATCATTGAGCATGGTCACCTGGTTTGTGCATATCAAGTAGGAATGGAAGATTGTAAGGCCACCAACAAACCAGATAGCGATGAAGCAGTACACTAAAAGGAAATCTGAGAGGATATCTTTCGACACAGCTTTTGGAATACCGCCTTCTTTAACTACATTTATCCAAGAGAAGACAAAAACATATATGCACAGGATGGTTGAGGTTGATATGAACATGAAGAAGAACCTATAGTTACGCTGCAACCAAGCATATAAGAGGACAGTTAGTTTATGAGTAGACCGTACAATGAACAATTATGCAAAGATTTGGACACCAAATAAATTGCAATCATATACTTGATATTCAAAACAAGTTGATTCAATTATAGTTGTCTGACAACAAAACTACTTGCAGTTCATGTGTGTGCAGTTTCCAGCTAAACTTTAGATGACTTAGTTACAGAGCCCAAAAGGGTGTCAAGAGAAATGGGGTAGTACTGTATAGCTGGTGAGATTACATGGAAATAAATCAGGACTATCAATGTAGACTCTCCTTTCAAACTAGTGTGAAAAAGTTTAAACACGCTACCGAAAAAGTAACTTCGAGAATTTTAGTATCTAACAAATAAATCTGTGTCAAAGTTTCAAATGATTTTGTGCTGTCAAAGTAAACCTTTGCAAGGATCCCAAGATATATTGGATTAAGTGCTAATAATAAGACTGAAGATATACTTAGACAGCTCCAACTACACAGGTATAACATTCCAGCAGTTATACAAAGTTTTAGTTTGTTCCTACTGCAATTCTTGACCGACAATTCCTTTGGTCTTTGATAAATATCACTACAGTCAGCCACCATGTTCAAAAGAACTAATGATGTCCAGGAAGGAAACCCACGTAAAGTTATCAGTTCACTTAGTTGTACCCTATTCCAATTTCTCATCACAGGTGGCATAAACATAGAAGATACTCTTTTACACTAATAACTTACCATTCCAATGCATTGGCCAACCCATGGACAATGATGATCGAATCTCTGAACACAATTGTTGCAGATAGAACAGTGAGATACACGAGGAGGGCGATAAAGCAAACAAGTATCACAGTACTTCACTTTTACTGTGTGACCATTTACAATGACATCTTTGGTTCGTGGTAGTTTCAAATGAGGAGTTCTTTCATTAACCCACTCCATTGATGGGGTAGCTAGATCAAATGCTTCATCTGATTCTGGAGGCCTTGAATTTCTAGGGACTATTCCAGGATCCCTACTAGAAGTCAAGAACAGAAATGTTAAATCCTGCACAGAAATGAGCTAAATGTCAGATTTCTATTTAAATACCAGGGCAATCAACAATTGTAAGAACAGAATGTTCAATCATATTTAATTTATCAAGTGATTGAAATCATATAGTCATCATCTTAGTCTTCGAGAGTGATAAGGCTGCCATTGGGATGCAATCCAAGTGTCCGATGGCTTAGATCCACAACCACAAGAAAAGGGCACATACAGAACATTTTGACAAGTTAACATCCCTGTGATATGTACAACGAAAAATGTGATCTGGTACATGAAATAAAAAAGAATCCATATTGCAGAAAGAACAGACTCATTCCAAAGACTGATTGGAGAAACAGAGATCTCTTAACATTTGAGGTCTAGACACCCTTATTGATGAGGACATCTTTGTCAAACCCATTAGGGTTTACAAACGAAAGAGATGGAAGAGGGAATTATTAATTGGTTTCCTAATTTATTTATTAGTTCCTAGGTTCTCTAAGTTTTCCAGATTTCATTAGGATTTTTAAGTTTCCTATTTTATTTGGATTAGGATTTCTTTCCTAGAATAAGTTTAATTTTCCTTTTCACTCTAGGGTTAGATTATTATAAATACCCCGTCTATGTAATTCATTATGGAGTTGAGTTGTTGAGATATAAAGAAAAGTTCATTTTCCAGAGATTGGAGACCACTTGGTGTGAAGCCAAACCACTGAAGTAATTCCAGACCTATCCCTTTTGTTCTATTTTCTGTTTTCCATTGTTTTTGCTTCTGTTAAACTACCTAAATACTCAATTCACCCGTATCCTACATCACTTATACTCCTTCAGTTTGTCATTTAAACATTAGTACATTATCAAAGGCCAAATCTTGCTGATGTAATGCATCATTATCCATCTGAAAGTTGCCTCACATTCAAAAGCTTTGAGCTTATAACCATGTCCATCGTAACAGCTTTAGCGCTATCTTCCTTCGAAAAGGTATTGGATCTAATCCACAGGGAATGGCTGCCCCATTATGTGTGACGTACCTTTCAATTATAGTAGAGAAGTTTATATTGACTCAGAATGGCTTATTATGTAGCATTAAATCTGAAGACAGAAAGAACAATGGTAAAAGTACAAAGGCATCATCAGTGGGCAGGTGTAATTTTTTTGATTGCCACTTAAAGCAAAATCCACATTCATATTTCCTTCCCAAGACCGATGTTTTCCAGGACAGCCACAAGTAGTGGCATTTCTGGTGAAATAGAGGCTTATGTAAATAGCCATACAGTATTCATTTGTTTTAATGATCCTCATGGCCTAATAGATGTTTTCCTCTACTTTTAAGATGGGAGTTATCCTATGGATGCTGCTATTAATTCCAAGGAAAGGATTCAAGTTTTGAGTTTCAATAATAACTTAACCAAAACTAAGTCGGTAGACTACTGAGATCTTAACTGTTAACTCTTAGCTATCTCATAAGCAATGGTGAAATAGAGGTTATGCAAATAGCCACATACAGAATAGGCCTCCGACTACAAACAATTGTGTATAGAAAGAAAAAGAAATAGAAAAAATAAAAAAGAAGACTTACCAAAACAGTAAGGACTGAGCCAACAATTAATACAGGATACCAAAGACTGTAATCTGTAACATTCCCCTTTTTTATTTTAAAATAAACCTTTATACAAAAGGCAACTGCTGGGCCGGCAACAAGGAGTGTGGACAGAAGAAGAGATGCCACATCAGGACCAAAAATTAATCTCCCGCCACAGAAAAAGTGCTGAAAATATCAATCAAAAGCCCCATCAGTAAAAGTACACCAAACAGGATTTGGGTTTTAACAATATTCAAACTGGATTTGGACATTTAACAATATTCAATAAGTATACATGTATGTCAACTCCTGGCCTATCTTCAGCCAAAAGAATAGTTCATAAAGCTTTGATTAATGAAAGATATAGCCAATACAATTACAGAGAAAGGGGAAACATAAACTTAGGAACAGATTAATGAAAGAAACAAATATATGACCTTACTGGCAAGAATTTGAAATCAAGTATTAACCTGGACTGCGACCAAGAAAGATATATCTTTTGTTTCTAGTCATAAATATAATCAGGAAATAAGTAAGGCCTTCTTGTGCCGCAAGAGGGGAGGGGGTAATTAAGTAAAGCCAGTCTAGCTAGAGTGCATCTTAAAAACAACTGCCTCACCATAAATTTAAAGACAAAAACACATACAAGAGAGAGGAAATAAGATGATATACAAAGAGATTAGTCAAATTCATAATATCATCCTCTTCTCTCAGTAACAAAAGCAATACACGCAGAGAAACCAATACAATTCAGGCTGATTAAAAAACAGTCGCAAGTCAAGAACAGTAAACCCAATTGAGAGAGAGAGAGAGAGAGAGAGAGAGAGAGAGAGAGAACACACATTGCTTCCTTTCCAGACTTGGTATAGCCTCTTGGGTTTATTCTGTGCCATACCATCAATGGATAATATGAACCCAGATGCCCAAACTCTTCTATTCTCAACTCCCAAACCCTATGTTCATCACAATTCCACTTCCTCCACTACAAAACCCACAACACCTTAAGAAAACCAATTCAAAGCAAATAAATGGGGTTTGTAAGTTTTACATGATGTACCTGTAAATGAGCAATTGAACACTGAAGAGAGAGAGAGAGAGAGAGGTTTTTGGGTTTGGGATCAAAACCAGCTGCCTCTCTGCCCACCACTTTTTCTTCAGACGGATTATACCAAGGCAACAGAGACAAACAAGATTTTCTCTCTCTGTCTGTTTCTTTCTCTCTCTGACTCTCTCTCTCCCTCTCTCTCTAACACGCTGCCAACGATGACATCCGGGCGGATGTTCCAATTTCTCGCGGCTTTTCCGCGCCCAACCAACATTTTTTGTTTTTTTTCTTTCAAACAATTATTTATTTTCGTAATTATTATTTGTTGATTATACATCAACTATTCAATTGTATCGATAACAAAATTAATCAACTTTGGCAACAAAAAGACGAACAAAATTAATCAGTATTTCTTTTGCTCTCTTTTTCGCATCAATATTGCTCTGCCACTGCCAGTACACCAGTCTAACCAACGTGCTGTCACAACTATTTTTTTTATTTTTTTTGGGTATTACTCGTTACAACTATTTTTTCTTTCTCGTCGTGCATTACAATATTCTTGTTCATAAATTACATACGCGTGTTCTTTTTTTTCTTTTTTTTTTTGTTCTACATTTTATTTTATTTTTTTAGTGTTAAGTTTTTCTTATTAGCAGACGATTTTTTAGAAGAAAAAATCATTACTAAGAGCATCTACAATCATGTTCCTTATTTTTTAGTTAAAATTTGACTAAAAACACATAGAAGTTATATTATGAGCTCTTTGTAAAATTCGAACTCAAATCATACTCCCTAGTTCAGGAGTCATGACAGGACCCGCTCCGAATTCCTCGGAATCCACAACGAATTCTGTAATATTTACAACATCAAACTGATGTCGGGCTCACTTACTAAAAAGGAACGAGACTTTCTACCAAAATTTCAGCAGAGTCTCTCCTGAAAAATGAACTTTCCCAAATAAATTTAACCTGTTAAAACATAATTATAACTCAACCAACAGCATGCACAAAATAATAACGTGAAATTTACATAATAGGCCTCCGGCCTTACAATCAACCCTAACATGGGCGATAATAGAGCATATCTACGAAATTCAATTACAAACGAAAATGAAGTTCAACGGAATAGAAATAAGTAGAAGTTTGCCTTACACAAGCTTGGGCTCGGAAGTTCACAACTTGGTACGCCCGCTCGGTTCAAGACTATTTACTGCCTTGGGAGGGGGGCGCAAAACAAAAAACGTGTGAGTGGACAAAAAATAGAATTTCATTATATTTGAAAACAACATATAATAACTCCACCGTTTGGAAAACGATACAGAAAACATGCATTCAAAACCAACATAGATTTATATATAGCTAAGTCAAAACCAAGGCAAAGTCCATATCTCATAAAGATATACTAATATCCATCCCACTCAAAACCTTTATCATTTTCCTCATACTACTCTCTCGAAACGCGTGCCTATTGGTACGACGAGCGAGGAAGTATTCTCACTAATAAAAGTATAGGTAGATATATAATATATATCAATCTATATAAGTATGACCACTACCAAACTTGTACCGGGGAAACAATCCAACCAGGGGATTGTTTGATTAGACCACATGGAAGAGGCTAGGAAATGAGCCATCCAATAAGGGGACTGGGCTCACCAGCACGTATAGCAGAATCCCCAATACTCATAGGTCTATGACAAGTCCTACGAGCGCAGACTAAACCCACTAAAGGTCTACGAAACACCCCGCTGCCCGGGTTCCGACATATCCAATTATCCAATTTCAGTATTCCAAATCCGGGGAGATACATAAGGTAGTGCTTATAGCACTTAAAACTAACATAAATCACAACTCATTCACAATCCATAACCTCTTTCCAACAATCTCATGTACCCAAATCACATTTCCAAGTATAGATAATCACTCTCAAAAATAGCATACATCCATACAAAATAATCACAATCCGCAAATATTCGAATATACTTCTACTTCATAACAATATTATATTCAACATTTGTAAATAAATAATAACTCAATAATCCAAGAAATCATTATGCATATTTTCCCATCCTTGAAAATAATGAATATTATTTAAAACAAAGTCCACTCACAAATAGTCTCATGCTGCTTGACCCTAAGAGGGTCCCGCCTGTTGCGTACGAGGAGCTGGAATACTTATTTAAGAACACGAGGACTACATCAATTAAAATACTCCGGACGAGAACTTTAAAATAAATTCTTAATTTTCTCAGGATTCAAAGTGTATGAATGACGAACAAGAAGTTCCTAAGGTCCAACTGTGGGTTTTTGAATGGTGGAATGCCTTGGGAGACACTCGGTCAACCTAGTGGTCAAACTTTCCAAATTTGGTCAACCAGGCTCGCGGGGCCCACGACCTCCAATTTTCTATCTGAAAGTTCCTACGGGTTCCACAAAGCTTACTAAACACGTCCTACAAGTTTGGTCCATATTGAACGGTTGGAACACTCACGATCACACAATCGGACAATCACCATTTTTCTTAATCTTTGAATCATGAATCAGAGCATCCAGGATTCCGATTCTCAATCCGCGAATTCCTACACGATTCTAAAGATACCTAGATCAACATATATGGAAATGGAGTCGATCCAATTGTCCGAACATATCGAACCTGGATAATGCCTAATATTTGTATATCCGATCAACAGTCGAACGATAACCAAATTCAAATCTGAGCATACCATCATGCTTGGGATGACATGAGGAACATTTTAGGACCAAATGGGCTACACAAACATGGCCCACGCATCGGCAGCTCGTGGGTGGCTTGAGAAAATTTTGGCGATCGGAAAATTATCAAATCACCCAACAATACCTATACCTACGAGATCAGGACAACGAGTGGAGCAACTTTTGTTCTTGGACAATGGCCAAAAAGTGGCCGAAACTTGCTGGAATTTCAAGCCAGAAACTGGCCAAATCTTTGATTTGAAAAACGAGTTTCAAAACTTCAAAATCAATCCTAACCAACCCAACCATTAGCTAGAACTCGTTGAAAGGATGAGAAAGCATACCTAGATGGACAAAAATGGTGGCCGAAATTGTCAAAACGAATGCTGAAGTTTTGGGTCAAAACTGGTAGCTTTTTTTTTTTTTTTCCAGCGGCGGGGATGGGGTGAGGCGGGAAGAGGGAAGTGAGCTGGTCACTTTGGTACTGGTCTCGCGAAAACTGGTGGCCGGCTATGCAAGGGAGGGGGGGTTTGTTCATGTGAGAGAGAAGAGAGATCGTGAGAGAGAGAGAGAGAGAGAGAGAGAGAGAGAGAGAGAGAGAGAGAGAGAGAGAGGGAATATAAATATTGTTTTTATTTTCGATATAT